GTTTTGTTTTCCTAACATATCATTATCATGCATTTGAAAATGACATTACATATCTGTTGATCTCTTCTGTCCTTTTTCTGTTTTATCATAGTTAAGTACTGCAACATTTGATCAATATTGAGAGTGAGAGTGTGAGTGTAGGTCAGGGCGAGACAGAGAGTATGTTTCGATTTTGATTAAGACTTGATTTGAGCTTCAGGAGCAGCTATCACGGACGCATCTAGTCATGCAATCAATAATAGAAAAGCATAAAAACTGATCAAACAGATGATCAAAGTATTTTGTTTTTCTATACTCATCTAACTATTATCATTTGTTTACAAACAATAAAAAAAAAGATTGTTTTGTTATGTGCAGAGACGATGAAAATCATGTTAATTCAATAAAATTAAAGATATTTTTATATTTTACTAAATTGTTCAAACAAAATAAAAATGTTTTTTAATTGATAAAAATAAGAAAGACTGATAATATAATGCATCATTTTAAATAAATTGTCTTATAAAATGAAATAAATAAATGAAATAATATGATTTTTGAAGATCTTTCTCCTTCCCAAATAAACCATTTCCATGAAGAATAATGAAGATCGATGTACTTCTATTTCAATATTTGTTTTTCATTGTAGAGTATTGACTTATTCGCAATTATAAATAGATCATTAGAACAAAATCCGCTTGTTAATATATCAGAGAATATAGTATATTGAGGTACATTCGCATCTATGATAGTTTTCATCTGTATACATCTAATATACTCATATAGAATTACATCCAATAGTATTTATAGAAATCTATATGTTAATGCATGAACAACCCTCTTATGTACAAATAAAAAATGATGAAAATGACTGAAAAACAAAAAGCAAATGCTTTGTCAAAAAAAGACTACTATTTTCACAAAAGAAACTTTTTTTTGTCAATATATTATTTACTTCTAAGTGAATTCTACACTGAAAAATTGTCGTATTATGATGAATAACATTTCTATGTTCATAAATATGAACAATCATTAACAAAAAGAAACGATGCACAAAATTAATATTAAATTGAAAATGAAAAATAAATTTGTTGAATTTAAAAAGATTTGCAATAAAATATTCAATATAAAAAATAAATGAAGAAATGTCGTTTTCCATAATCAAATTTATGATAAGATAGTTTTATTTGTTTGATTGACAAATATATTTTTTTTCTTCTCAAATCAAATCTTATATGACAAAATTTCATTTCAATGTTTTGTCTCAATAAAAGATAAGAAATTCTGTGACAAGATGAAAAATGCCAATGAGAATGTATATTCATATTGATTAAAAATTATTTCCTTTATTTTTTTATTCTGATTGTTTAGAAATGATTCATCCGAGTTTATAATATTAAATTGATATAAATAAATATTATCCCTTTGAGTACTTTGTTGAAATTTAAAAATAAAAATCGAATTTTCAAAAAGTAAATTCTTATATATTAAAATAAAATCATTATTATATAAATCTGTATATAATACATTATGAGAAGTAATGTGATTTTCTAAACGTTTATTTACATATTAAATGAGATGTTAAACCAAAAACAAAAATTCATTCAATCACTGATTATTTTATTTATTGTCCTATGATATTATAGGAATGAACATATCCTTGTTTCCATTAACGAAATAGATCAAATAGAAGAGATGAGCAAATTTATATAAATATTGACATTTATAAGTTAAAAACAACAGATAAGTTAAGATAAATATGAAATCTTCTTTTGTTCAATTGACAGATTTACCTAATAAAACCATTATAATGATTTCGAAAAAATTTGAACAATATTACACTACTTTTTATTAGATGTTAATATACGTTTAAATAAAATAGTATATTATTTTATATTTACGAATCGTTTGACTTTGTTGATCTTTGTACGAATTCATTTGATTAAACTAATATCTTTGTCAATTTATTATGTTTATTCATCAGCATGTCAAATACTTGATTGTTATTGTTTACATATATTACCTAAAATACATGAAAATGTCACATAGCTTGATCTTGATTCTTCTTCAATGGAACGTATTCTTCTTGCAACAAACTATCTCAATTTATCTGGAATTGATTTATATAATATTCAAGTGGAAAGTACTATACATCTTTTCTCCACTAAAATATATTCGGTTCTTCTATTGATAAATATATCAAATCAAAGTAATATGTAAAATGAATTCATTTAAATCAATTTATTAAGTCATTTATTAGATAATTATCATTTTAATTATCTTTAAAATATTTTGAATTTTATTCATATGAATGAGAAGAAAACTTCTTGCAGATATTATTTTTGTATAGGATATAAATGTTTCGACAAAACAATATAGTGAAATAAGTGTTGATATCATTATTTTCACTTTAGTTTTTAACCATAAATTCGCGAACAAGGAAATTGTAGAATAAAATAAATAAAAAAGTTTGAATGTGAAAAAGTGCAGCATCTAACGAAAGAATCTCTTGAGGTAATGAAAAACTTTTCGTCTTTGACTACTTTTGTCATATAGGCTCTAATGAATAGTGATATAGCCTAAGTTGATTCATCTACTTATTGTTTTCGAATAGAATTATAGATACTTCACTTGTTTTTTCGATCTATATCATCATGAAACTATAATAGCAAAAGAATGAATTTTGATATGGAATTTTGTCTATAAAAAGGTCTCATGAGCACTAAAATCTTCTAGGAATTTCGAAAAAATGAATGCATCCTTCTTGACATATCGAGTTCTCAAAGAAAACAAAACCCTATTTCTCATACTCAATTTAATTTATCTTAGAAGACAATCTTTTTTAAAATTCTATATCGTAAGAATGATGCATTTATTTTTTCTGAAGGCTGTAGAAGATTTTGACGTTTGTAAGACTTTTTACAGACAATTTAAGATTAAAATTCATTATTTTGCTATTATACTCTAATGATGACATAGATCAAAAAATAAGAAAATCGTCTATATTTCTATCCGAAAACAATAAGTAGATGAAACACTTTAGGATATCTCAATATTTACTAGACCATATACAATAAAAGAAGTTAGAGTCTAAAAGCATTTTAATATCCCAAGAAGATTCCTTGTAAGATAAAAATTTAATTTATTGAATAGTTCTAAAGACAAATATCATCACATACATAAATTCCAGCGTTATTAACGAAAGATAAATACTTAGATGTAAACAGCACAATAAATATAATAAAATACTTTCAAAGTTTTTTTTAAAAACATTTTCATAGTTTAGATAAATATAAGTTCACTTCAATCTACAAAAACCAAATTTTATCACTTGTTATCGATATAAACACAAATGAAGAAGTAGATTCAATAATAAATGTAAATAAACTCTTATTTGCATAAATCTTTACTGCATTTATTTATTTACAATCCTTTTTTTTTGTCTGTCTTCAATTTCCTATCAATATATATTCTTCGATATTTTACCTTCTAACTATCCTCTTTTCAACTCTATTAGAATTACATGTTTATTTGACCAAGTTTCGCGATTGTCTTTATTTACTTGATCGACGTCTTCATCAGCTTAGTATATATCATGTTAATATTACTATTATTGTTCTTTCGAGTTTAACATTCAGCAATAAGGTAGATTATTTTAATTAATATTCAATTTATTCAAATAAATATTAATCATTATCATTAGGAAAAACTACCTAACTTAAGATCGTGTAATCTTTCTAGTTATAATATTAGAGATGGTTATGATGAGTTAATTTTACCACTTTTACATCGAATGTCGAATTTATAAAAACTTGATTTGTCTCTTCTTGTTTGGACGAATAAAACGTTTGTTGACGGTAGTAATTTGAAAATAAATATTATCAATTATATGCCATTATTAAACAAATTTATTTAGGGGTATCAAAAATAGTGGTAACGAAATTTTAGTATCGCATAGTAAGCTTCATAAAAGTTTCTTTTTCGAGAGAATGACAGAAAAAAAAATGTTCTTTCTTCCTATGCTATTTCATCATAATTCAATTGATATCGTAACAATAAAGTCCTAAGAAGACCAGTTTGTCTATCATGTGTAACGGTTATACAGGGTAGCATTTAAGTTACCCGTCACTTTGTAATTGCGAATAACTTTTGATAGGAACAAGATAGAGAGCTGCACTTTTCATGATTCAAAAGAGGATGTGTTATTGCATAATTCTATGTATTACTTAATAGTCTCGAGCGATAATCAAATAGTGGATCACTAATTTTCGGAAAAGTAGTGATACCATATGAAGATGGCATAGAGGCTCTATTCTATGGAGTGTATGAGACCTGTGTAGTTACGATTCACACTCACAACCTTATTTCCGAAACTTTTGTTTTCTTCCATTCCAAAGCTATGTGTGGAACACTAGACAAGGGTGTGGAATGTGGGTGTGGGTGAACACAGGGCCAACGCCTACATCCACACTCAAATCATCTAATCAGTCATTATGTGAGCTAGCTAATACAAATCCAGCAATCGCCTGTAAGCCAAATCATCGATTCTGACAGTATATTTTCCAAAGAAGTATACATGTACATCTACCATTAAAAACCTATTTCAACCACCTATATGCGATCCCATGTCATGATGTGAATTCCAAAACTCTAGTTATGTTTGGGCTTATACATGGTAGTATAACGATGCATGGACCTGACACAAGGTGGTACATGAATTCTAGAATTCTAGGTTTTTCTGGAGTATATATGTTATTATGTCGATATGTGGAAGGTGTGGATGTGGGTGTTGGTCCTGTATACACCTACACCTGCGCCCATATTCACCACACCCACGCTAAGAGCTTTCTTATTATAGTCAAAGTGTTTCGAATTTCGTTTCACATAAAAAGAGATAAGCATAATTTTCGTGTA